GTTTTCAATTCGCTCAGAAATGACTCGCTGTATAGGAGGAACAGGTCGGGTGAGAAGACGCATCCTTGCCTTACGCCCCTTTCTATTTGTGTATATTCACTGAATTCGTTCCCTATGCGCATGCATGCTGTTTGCTGCCAGTATAGGTTCTTGATTATTCTGATATCTTTCCCGAATATGTCAAGGTTGCTGAGCAGTTCCATCAGAACCTTGTGGCGTACATTGTCGAACACCTTTGCCTCGTCTGTAAAACATAGGTACACGTCCTTTAGCATTTGTATTACTCTTTCTGATAACATTCTGAGCATGAATATCGCGTTCCTTGTTCCGGTATCTTTAACAAACCCGCACTGTTCTTGTCCTATCTCTGGCCTGATTCTGCTACGCGCTCTATTCATCACAATATGGATGATGAGTTTTCTTACGTGGCTCATTATGCTTATTGTTCGGTGAAGTTCGCATTCTTTTGCACCTGGTTTCTTAGGCAATGCTATGAAGATAGATCTGATGAGGTCTTCCGGTATTATCCCGCTGTTGTAGATTTCATTTGTTATTTCGGTGATCTTGTCTATGCCACAGTCATCTAAGGCTGTCAGTATTCTCGTTACAATTCCGTCTGGCCCAGCTGCCTTGTTTCTGTTCAGTTTGGTCAGTGCGGCTTTTACTTCGGTTTTCAGAATTCCAGGTCCGTCGATATTCCTTTATATTGCTGATTGTTTCCTTTCGTTGTCGAAGAGTTCTCCAGTATACTCGCTCCAGCGTTGAAGAATTTTTTCCTTCTCTAATATGAGCATTCCATCCTTTGATTTTAGGCAGCCTGTTAACGAGTCTGTCCTTTTAGTTGCCTTATTTGTTTGTGCATATCTCTTTTGTTGGTGTTACTCAGTCTCTCTATTTCTGCACATTTTTCGTTTAGCCATTCTTCTTTAGCTTGCCTGCGTTTGTTCCTTATTTCATTGTGTAATCTTTTGTACTCTGTTCCGTATCTTGGGACTATTGAGCGAAAGTTGGTTAAACAGCGAGTCAGTAATGAGTTTGTGCGAATAGATTGCTGGGCAGGGACAAGGAAAGATGATAAAGATTGAAAAGTTGCTCAGAGCTACAGGGTATAGGAAATTGTGGAGAGCTATGATCGCAGTGTTCCTGAAGGGACAGAGGACATAGAGGATAATTCAGTTTCAAGTTTTTCTCAATAAAATAAAAGCCACTGATTAGAAATTCTGGCATCCACGCCGTAATTCGTAAAATAATGAAAGTACTTCCGCTAAGAAATTCAGATTTCAATTTGCATTAACGGCCGTTCGAAATTTGCTTAACATCTTCAGTGTTAAGTTTGTTTTTGATGAGGTGTGGAGATCAAGAATAAACTAATAGGGTTTTTCCTAGGTATTAAATAGTATCGTTAGAAAGTAGGTATTAGCCAGTGCAGTGTGCGGATGCAAAAATGCAGACGTGGTGCACATTTCCAAAAGGGGAAGTTTCTGAAAATAACATTGCCACTTAAATAGCAAAAACGTTAGCGTCTTTTGGTACTGAACGTGTTCAACTATCATGGTTGTCCAGAAACCTGATCTTTCTCGGTAAAACCAGGAATCAAAAAGAAATTCCAGTCCAAGTGAAGAGAAGTATACTGATTGGGATAATTCCTGAAAATAATCAATACACGGTGTCTATAAATTATCTGTGCAATTTCCACAGTTTATTGCGTCCATTAGAGTTAAAATCGATCAATTCACTTCTTTGCATGTAAAAGAAATACCGTTAAAGTTTTAATTAATGTATAGTTTTTTCCTTTTTAATTCACTTTCTTTTATCTTTTCAGGTAGATGTTAAAAGGGATCATTACTGATCTCTGAGTTTTATTGAAAATGTCAACGTTGCAAGAAAAAACGAAATGTGTATCCTGGTTCATAGAGACCAAATTGGACACACAGGTTCATTGGAATTACAGTACAAAGTATGAAGGAAACCACCAATTCATCTTGGTATCCATGTCTGGCACAAGCAGTCTATAGAAACAGGAAGTTTCTAGCAGAAAACAGAAATTGTGTTGTGCGAAACTAATTGGGCCTATATGGAAATGTTCTGATATGTTTAAATAACACTTTATTTGTTTACTAATGTTTTTCAATAAACTCTATACAGTGATATTCATTTATTTAATGAATTTTTAAAGATCTACAGATAATTTATGGACACCCTGTATTTCTTAGCTAATTCGGCTTTGGCGTAAGATTACTGAGATTACATAGATTCTATAGTAGATATTAATCTTTCATGTAAGTAAAGCAATTACCTCTGCATACTAATAACAAATCATTATTTTTTTTTATAACTTTTAAATGTTACAAAGGTGAGTCGAGTTCGAATTGCGGCCTAGTTGTATTAACTTTCATATAAATGCCTATGATTTATTATTGTAAAGTACAATAATTTCGACACAAGACTAAAAAGGAGGGAGTGGGGTGGGGCTGGTCATTATTAAATTTTTTTTAAGCTTTTCACTCCAAGCAAGGCTGGAGTGTCACTAGTACGCAAGGGGTTACAGAGAGTGGGAGAAAGAGTAAAGAGGCGTGATAGAGGATAGGATGCAAAAAAAGGACGGGGCATCTGGAGATGTCGATTGACATTACATTTAAATAGTTGGAGATTATAGCTATCAGGGAAACAAGTAATAGGAAGGGAATTCCACAGACGGGAGGTGCGAGACATGAAGCTATTGGAGTAGAAGAGACGGCCACATTTAACCGTTTCGCCAGTGAGAGGGTGGGACCGAGATGCCAACCTAGTAACACGTTTAAATTCATGCAGTCTGGGAACTAGTGAAAGTAGCTCGTCGGAGCAGTTACCGTGAAAGTATTCGTAGAAAAGACAGAGGGGGGCGAGGGCACGTCTGTGAGAGAGCGACTGTAGACGAGATGCCAGATCAAGGCCAGATTTAGATTTTGTCGAGGACCTTAAGGCGAACAGCGGGGGGCACCAGACCATATATGACAGCAGTATTCCATGCAAGGGCGATTTATAGATTTGAAGGATGGACTCGGGGAAGAAAATCTTTTTGGCGCGACACAGGGAACCAACTTTCCTTGCGGTGGATGAAGCTATTGATTGATTATTTTTTTCCATCTCAGGTCAGCGGACAGTGTGAGACCAAGCAGTAACAAAGAGGTGCTCTCGTGGAGCTGAACATTCTAATGGGAGGCAGGGATCTTATACCTAGCTAATCTGATTCACGACCAATTGATTCATTACAATTAACTCATTCGCCACCAAAAGTCCTCCTTCACCATTCACTATTACATATACCCCAGTACGCAATATTCACAGGGAACCTACAAAAACAACCCATGACAGAAAAATTCCTTATGTAGCAATAAATGTTAATATATAATATTATATATATATATATATATATATATATATATATATATATATATATATATATATATATATATATATATAATGATGGTATGGAATTGGGGGGGGGATGAACCTGAAAACAAACTAAAATATAACAAAACACACAAACTAAGATTGATGTTAGTAGGCACGGTGGAGTAATGGATAGCGGCTCGGATTGAGGAATCGGAGAGCCGAGTTCGAATTCTATTACATCCACTTACGTGCTAATACCCTTAGGAAAGGTATGAATCCTCTTCTTCTCCCCTCACCAGCTATGGGGAAATAGCAGGACAGACCGGATTCTATAGCCTTGGATGGCAACTATTCTACCGCAGAAAGAAATGGCAACCTATTGCGGGAAAAAAATCTGCCTCATCAGTCATGTATCAAAAGATACATGATCGCCTAAGCGTGTATCACGCATGGCACATATCTAACTGAGGACCTGTCCACTCCTCAAACATAAGACAAAATCTCCCTAACGGACAGGGAAGGATAAAATAAATTTGAGCATGGGAAAAAAAAACAAAAAAAAAACGGATCCAGTCGAGATGAAAAAGAGAACCAAAAAAAAAAAAATACAAAAAAACTGGAGAATTAGGGAATCTCGACTTAGATCATCACAAAAGAGGAAGCCGGGAAAAGGCGTGGAACGATGTTTAACTAGTTACACAGGAAGAGTCTATCTTAACCAGTGGAGAGCAAATTATTTTCTAAGCGTAGTTTAGATGTGACACAAGGCAAAAAGTATTGAACACCCAGTGAGGATCGAACTCACTACTCAGTCGTAATTGCTCTAGCGAGACAATCTTGCTAACCATTACATCATATCGGGTTGACAACTTTCATATAAACGCTCTTGGGAATGGTATGGTGGTGAACGCGCATCGATACAGACGCAAAAGGGGCCTCGGATCGCGTACGGACATGTTTGCTAACACCAGTTACGTCCAGGTTTCCCCCCGTTAGCAGTGAGACAACTTGGCATATCTAGATACAGGCCTCTCTGCAAATGGTCAAAATCCGGGTCTTTGTAAGATGCCTAATTCCAATAAAAGCAACGGGAAACCATCAGTCAGGGATTGGCAAGACATGGTGTCTTGTGAAGTTGGTCCCGTGGGCATTTTATTCCTAAAGTTGCTTTCGTTTGGTGTTATTTTTGTTACCTCTCGTCTCTTTCCCCTCTCTCTTTTTCTTCCTATTAGCCCCGTAGTTGTTGGGAGAGCAATCGGCTAGGTGTTTCCCCCAACATCCACATACTCTTGCCATACAACAGATGAATCCACCTTTTCTCCCTATTTATGGGTTAAATAAAAGGAGAGCCTGAACTCTCCAGTCAATCTAGGAGAAGATTTTTTGAATTCAGAACTGCAGAGACGGCACCGGGAAAAGTTCCACTACCTTTACCAAGCATAGCAAATCCCAGATAATAATGATAAAAGGGAAGCTGTAGAGAGCCATGATCGTCTATATTCTGAAGAGATGCGCTTAAAAAAAGAAACATACAAAAATTGGATAATTATTGTCTGGCCGAACCCATTTACAAACCTATTACTATTATTATTAAGATGTAAATTGAAGTGGAAATTGCTTTTTAGAGCATTGGAACGGCATTTCAATAACAAATCTCCCTCTCCCCCCCTCTCTCTCTGTGTCTCTCTCTCTCTTTATGAATCTATCTTAGTCTCTTCTTATAAATCCATGCATCTTATTCCTTTCATATCTACCTGTCTCAGTTAATTTATATACCTCTCTCTTTATCTTTGTCTGCTAATATCTATCTATCTATCTATCTATCTATCTATCTATCTATCTATCTATATTCTTTTTCTCGGTCTCTCTTTCTCTCTATTCTCTCTCTCTCTCTCTCTCTCTCTCTATATATATATATATATATATATATATATATATATATACAAGAATACTTTTAAGAATAGTAATTGTTGTTATTGGAATTCATTCCATATACACCAATTATATACTTGATATATATATATATATATATATATATATATATATATATATATATATATATATATATGGAACAAAAAAGCTATATTTGTTCTCTTGCTATCTATCAATCCATCCATCTCTTTTAGTCTGCTTCTATCTATCTATCTATCTATTTATCTATCTATCTATCTATCTATCTTTTCTTTTTCTCGGTCTCTCTCTCTCTCTCTCTCTCCTCTCTCTCTCTCTCTCTCTCTCTCTCTCTCTATATATATATATATCCATCTATCTATGGAACAAGAGAGCTATATTTGTTCTCTTGCTATCTATCAATCCATCCATCTCTCTTAGTCTGCATCTATCTATCTATCTATCTATCTATCTATCTATCTATCTATCTATCTATCTATCTATTTCGGTCGCTTCATATCTATCTATATGAAATTGACATTTATACAACCGACCTATTCTCTTCTCAATTGTCAGATGCAACAATGGTTCTCCTCCCTTGCTCATCTTAGTCAATAATGTCAGTCAACCACTCATCTTTTACGAGTGATTTTAATTTCCGAAGACCAGTTGTAAAATCGCAAATCGCCACCTAGTGGCAAGGCGAGAGCGTTTCCTACGATTAGCTGAGTCACTGAAAACCATCAAGCATCCTCCTTTATCTGGAGAGCTCCGCGGGCCCCAAGAGCACAGCGGAAATTAATTTTGCGTTTAGAAAATTTCTTCAGCTTTACAACGGTGCCAATTTCGCAAGCCGATCCACGGCTTTATTATCTATCTGTCAGGTGTTCGTATGTAAGTAAGTATGTAATTTTCTGTCAAGAATTAATATTCTTAACAGAACATTACATACCAAAAACTGTTGGACGCTATGAATCTCCGAAATATATGCTCCTTTTCCCAATATATTAATTTCTATTGTGTAAATCATGATATTATCGTTAGGCTTTATCAAAGAAATATATTAAATCTATTTTTCACTATAATGATTACGGATAAAATATATCAGAAATTGCTAAATACAAAGATAGCATTAAAATGGTTTTACTATAAAAATACATTGTAAATGAATTTTTACAATAAACATATATTAAAGACGATTTTAATATAAAATGCATTGCAATAAAAGTTAATGTAATAGTGATTGAACATGATTTTATTATAAAGTGCGTTGCAAATTAATTTTACTGTAAAATATAATTGTAAAGGATTTTATTACAAACTCAATTCACCGTAAGCAATGCGATGATGTCACTAATACGCAAGGGGCTACTGAGAGTGAAAGAGAACGAGAAGACTTTAGAAGGAACTGGAAACCCGATCCTAAACATGAAACAAAGAATAAACCTTTACTCCTGTTCAAGAGACTGGGAAGGAGTGTGGACTGGACGATAAGCGAACTCATCTATTCCTATTTAAAATTATTTTAATCTAAAATGTATTAAAAATGAAAAAAATGTAAAACAAATGATTTTAATATAAATTGCATTGCAAATGATTTTAATATAAATTTCAATACAAGTGATTTTAATATAAAATGCATTACAAATTATTTCAATATAAGATGCATTACAAATGATTTTAATATAAAATGAATTGCAAATGATTTTAATATGAAATGCAATACAAATAATGTAATATAATAATATAAATGCTTTATAAATGATTTTAATATAAAATGCATTACAAATAATTTTAATATAAAATGCATTACAAATGCTTTTAATATAAAATGCATTACAAATGTTTTTAATATAAAATCATTATAAATGCTTTTAATATAAAATGCGTTACAAATAATTTTATTATAAAATGCATTACAAATGATTTTAATATAAAATGCATTGCAAATGATTTTAATATAAAATGCAATACAAATGATTTTTATATAAAATGCATTACAAATTATTTTAATATAAAATGCATTACAAATTGTTTTAATATAAAATGCATTACAAATGATTTTAATATAAAATGTATTACAAATGATTTTAATATGAATTGTATTACAAATGATTTTTATGATAAAAATGCATTAAAGAGATTTTACTATAAAAAGATTACAAATGATTTAAATTTAAAATGCATAGCAAATGATTTTGCAATAAGTTGCAATACAAATCATTTTATTATACG